GGATACCCTCCACAAAGTAAATATGTTTTGGAGGGCATATTCATCCCCGCAATATTAAAGCCAGCGAGTAGAGTATCCAGGGGGCACCAATTATTGCTATTTCCCTCTCCCCATAGAAAAGTACAAATGGTGCAGGTTATCCTGTAGGTCCTACTGCCCCTTGAGGAAATTCCTGTCTGATCCTCTCTCTTTGCCACCTGCATGCAAAAAATTGAACCTCAGGGAAAGAGATAAATGAAGAATTTGGTTATTTGTTCAAAAACACATATTGTTGTTCTAAAGTAACTGGGGGGTGGAGTGAATTAATTGGTTTTTAAAGGAAAAACTCCTAAGGCTTAAGAAAAGGTAGGGATGTATCTACAGGAAAAAAACATTTTTAGACCAAAGGCCAAACAAATCCCTTGGGACCAATAAAAAGAGATGGGTAAGGTCACAGCCTGGTCATGCCAGACTTACAGTTGGGAAGACCTGGCTTAGACACTGTCTGCGTGACCCTGGCTCACTCGTAACCTCTCCAAGTCTCAGGTCTCTTATTTTAAAAATAGGCACATTACCTATTGTGTTGTTGTTGAGTCATTTCAATCATGTCTGACTCTCTCTGTGACCCCATTTGGGGTTTTCTTGGCAAAGATATTGGGGTGGTTTGCCATTTACTTCTCCAGTTCATTTTACAGATAAGGAAACTGAGGCAAATGGGGTTAAATGACTTGATTTGCCCAGGGTCACACAGCTAGAAAGTGTTATGTGTCTGAGGCTGGATTTGAACTTAGGTCCTCCTGAATCCAGGGCCGGTGCTCTATCCACTATGCCACCTACCTACCCCCCCCCCGATATTACCCATTAAGAGGCATTATGGCATATAGTGAATAGAAAACTGGCCTCAAAGTCAAGGAAACTGGTCCATGTCCTGCCTTTGACACAAATTGGCTTCATGACCTTAATCATATTTAACCTCTCAGTGCTATAGGCAGCTTTTTTAGACTCTAAGTTAGCTGCTGAACTGGTCACTGATCTGCACTGAGAGAAAGTCCCTGCACTTGGGAGTTCCCTGTACTGATATAATCACAGGTTCAGTCCCTATCCCTAATACCCACAGCCCTGAAATCACAGGGTGGTTAGGGGGTTCAAATGTGTCCATAAAGCACTTTACAGGGTAGAGAAGTGCCAGCTGTTATTATCCAAATGGCTGCTCTCTCTGACCTTGGCAACACCACACATTTCTTGATAATGGGTGATGGTTTTCAGCTCTACCTATGGCAGACAAGGAATGATTCGCTAAAGATCTTTGCTCTTCTAATACCCATATCAAAGGACATTTGAATGGGTGGAGGGGGTTAGGAGGAAGGGGGGGGGGAATTGCCCTGAGTATCTCCCTCCTCTAGGACATATAAACACACAGAGAGAGAGAGAGAGAGAGAGAGAGAGAGAGAGAGAGAGAGAGAGAGAAAGCCAAGGGAAAGGATAGCTAAAAGGGAATGTATGGGCAGAAATTCACTTGTTTTGGTTTCTATCTCCATACCTTGACTATTCTCCTCTCTACTCTATATAAATCTCTGTCCTTCAGTTCCTTCAAGATGTGGCTTTAAATGCATTGATTTGTTTTGTTTACCTGTGCTTGCCTAAGACAGTGAGCAAGTAAGATTGTGACTTGTCCAACAGTATACAACTAATAAGTTACAGAGCCAGGATTTGAACCCAGGTCCTCTGCCAGTGATCTTTCCACTATATCATGCTGGGAGAGAGGTTTCCTCTATACTAATGAAATTATAGTATAGACTGTTGCTCTGCCCCACCCATAAGAGGGAGGATTACACTGGGAGAAGTTGGAAACTCACTGAGAAGTGGTAACAAGTCAGAAAAGGAAAAAAGAAAAAGATGAGGAGAAAGAGGAAAAGAAGAAGGAGGAGGAGGAGGAAGAGGAATATCATATGATAGATATCAATAAATCCATGTTGGTAAAATTAACAAGTCATCCCCACCAAAATCTTAATTTTAGATTGAACATTTTCAGGAAGTCTAGATTAGCGTATGGCACTCTTGTTCACTCTTTTGATGTGTGTCCCCTCAGAATTTAAGAGCTCAATTTGCACTATATAATTTTGAATTTGTTCATATTTATTGCATTGTTAACTATTTTCAAGTAATTATGTATGTATGTTTGGTGTTTTTCTAGGTAGAATTGGGGTTTTGCAGGGCAGAGGCAGAGTTCAATACTACAATTTCATGAAGTATAGAGGACAGCCTCCCTTCCTCTGTGGTATAGTGGACAGATCACTGGTAGAAATCCTAGGTTAGTCAACTCATTAGTTGTAAACTGTCGGGAAAGTCATGGTCTCTCTGGATCTTAATTTCCACATCCAAAAAAAAGTATGGGGTTGTACTAGATGACCCCTATCATCTCATGAGCCTACTATGCATAACAGCAACTCGTCTGGAACTTATAGTCTTGGAGTTATCTGGAGCACAGAGATTAAGTGACCTGCCTAAGGTCACACAGCTAGTATGTCAGAGGCAGGATTTGAACCCAGGGCTTCCTGACTCCAAGGTCTTCCACTGGTGTCTTTTTTTTTTTAATACATAGCTCTTTCTTAAAACTAAGTAATCTGGAATATGTAAAAATCAACTTCTTTGCCAATGACATTCTCACTTAACAAAGTTATACCTTTTTGACATCCCGTTCACATTCATAGTTATGATTACTGTGTCTTCCTCTCCATTCTCTTTCCCCCCCATTTATACTTTTCTCTAGCCTTTCTCCCTTTCCCTCCTCACTAGTGTTTTGCTTCTGACCACTGCCTCCCTCAATCTACCCTCCTTTCTATCAGTCCCCTCCCTTTTCTTTCCCCTTTCCCCTCCTACTTCCTATAGGATATGTTAGATTTCTATACCCAACTGAGCATGTTATTCCTTTAAGCCAAATCCAATGAGAGTAAGGTTCAAACAATGCTCACCTCCTTCCCTTCTTTCCCTCTACTGCAATAGATCTTTCCACTGGTGTCTTCTGAGGCTGATTATAAGATCCTAAGGGACAGGACTGTGTTTTGTTTTGTTTTTTAATTTTGTGTGTTTCTTCCAATTAGTAGTTAGTATAGTCCTCTGTATATAGCAGTGGCTCAATAAATGTTGAGTTACAGTGACTGGCTCCCCTCCCTTCAGATTTTTGTTTGGGCTCTTCTGTCTTATCTATCCTGCCACCCTACCCTCTCCCTAACAATGAAAAGCCAATGGGACAGCTGTTAAGTTATGGATGGGAGGAGGAAGAGCTAAATCAATGAAATTTCTTGTTTTCCTTCTTTTTGGCTTTCCTACTTCTTTCATGTATATGTGTGTGTGCACACACATATACATACACGTTTAGATATGTGTATGTGTAATACACGTACACATCAGTATATATATTAGATATACATCTATATACATGCATGCATGTATATATGTGTGTGTGTGTATCTTCCTGAAATGGAAGGTAGGAAGATTTTTGGAGGCCACCTGGATGAAGGGCTGTCAGACTCCTAGATTCACAGAATTAGCAGCAGAAGTGCCAAGTATCTAAAATATAATGCATGCATACATACATATATACATAAATATATATATATACTCATATATTCACACATATAATATACATTTCAGGAAGATAGATTTCTTATATGTAATATCTATTATATGTTATATTTATCATACATAGAAGATACAGATCTATCATATATATCCTATCTCTATCCTATATAAGACAGCTATATCATCTGAAATGTATATTATACATGTACACGCATGTCTGTGTCTGTGTCTATGTGTATATGCTACACACTTGGCATTTCTGCTGCTGATTCTCTGATTCCAGGAGTCTGACAGCCCTTGGTCCAGGTGGCCTCCAAATATCTGGGGATTCTCAGTATTTCCCTTCGGCAGAATTTAACCAAGCACCACAGATCACTGGATCATCGAAGGTTGGATGGGGAAGGATCTGTCTCAGCCAGGGCAGTCAGCCTGTCATCTCTGTCACAGGTACCCGGGTGCAGGGAGAACCCAGCTACTTTCCTCAAACTGCTCTTCTCTAGAGAGCCACAGCAATCCCTGACATCTGCCACCCAGGAAGCAGAAAATCATATTTGCAACAGGAAAGTTTTAAGAGATGACCACACATATATTCCTCAGAGGAGCACGTATGCAGAGTTGGAAGGAACCTCAGAGGCCAATGAGAATCAATCCTCTCATTTTGTAGTTAATGAAACTAAGGCTCATGGAAGTTGAGTGACTTGTGCAGTATCACACAGGTAGTGTTCATCAGGTAGGATCTGAACCCAAGTCTTTTGACTTTTGGCAAAATTAATGCTCTTTCTATTGTACTATACTGTATCAGAATGTTGTTAAGGGAGGCAGCTAGGTGATGTAGTGGATGGAGCACTGGCCCTGAAGTCCAGAGGACCTGAGTTCAAATCTGGCCTCAGACCAAACACTTGACACTTATTAGCTGTGTGACCCTGGGCAAGCCACTTAACCACAATTGCCTAAAAAATTAAAAAAAATTTTTTAAATGTTTTTAAGGAGTAGAGATGATAATATATGTGAAAATTCTCTGTAAACTATAAGGTGCTATGTAAAAGTAAATATTATTATTACTACAGTTATGTTGGAATGCCACATTACTTCTGAAATGGCAACATAATTAATTAATACTGTGTCAGGTGCCATGTTGGACTTGTAGAAGCCATCGTCATAGCCCGTGCCTCCTGTCTTCCTTCATCCCTCCATCCTCATCCCTAAAGCTGGAGCACTGATCTACCTTCAGTAGGCCAATTACATTCCCAAGCTCCCAGCAGAATTCAGCCTGATCCCAGCTCCCTCATTCACTCCACAAAACATCTGCCAAGACCCTGGAGGCCAGAGACAAAAATGTTTTCAAGATTGTAGAAACCATAAAATAATTTCTGGTCTTTAAACTCTTTAATTTAAAAGGTATTCACTTAAAAAAGCAAAAAACCAGAAGATTTGCTATGGTCTCTGCATATACCATCTTCTTAGAGCTGAGGTCATGACTATTGGTTCCTCTTGGCTGGCAGCTCTCCAGAATCCAGATTTCTTCTATTGTTCCTCCAGTTGTCCATGTTGTTATCAATGGGGAAGCTGGGATGCATTTTCACATTGAATGAGGCTAGTCCCACCATGGTGGGTAGCTTCCTGGAAATAAAGGTTTCCATCCTTGGCAGCTCCTAGAACTGATTTATCAGCTCTTCCCTGCTCACAAGTGAGAAATGGTGGTATCGGTCCCGAGAGGCAAAGTCTGCATTCTCCTTGGTGAGCTGAGTCATCTCCATGTCAACCCTGGCCAAGGATGGTGTCAAAATAATCTCCTCCCGAGAGGACTGCAGTCTCCTTCAGTGAGAGAACCATAGAAGCACACAATCAGTCAGGAAGAATATCAAAGAAATACCAGAGTGGCCAGACTCAGTCACCTAAAGACACAGTGTTTCTACACTGGGAGGCCTGCCAATACCTTCAAAGGAGACAGCAGTTTCCACAATGGCTAGGGGAGTCATTTACTAAAAAATGCCAGCTGTCACAAAACCTTGTTTAAAAACCTTTTTGAAATGTTCTGGTGTGTTCATAGATTTGGGCTGTTTCTGAGATCATAGCTGGGAACTGTATGTCTAAAGCTGCCTGTCATCTCCAGGTATTCCTAGCACAATATTAAAAGGGTGCTATTGTATGGAAAAATCAGGTTCCACCCATCTGGCAGCTCCTGGCAGGAAAGAACAGAGAGTAGAGCTATTTGCCTTTTGCTTAAAAGAAAAAAGAAGGAAAACTGTATCCTTTTGATTAGAGAGAACCCAGACAGAGGCCTTTACATCATCCTTTCTTTCTCTTTGTCCTTTGACACATGTAAAAAAGGAAGAACAGGCTACACAGAGAGGCCAGAAAAATTCGTGCTTGCCCTTTGATTAGCGTGCCAGAGAAAAGACACAAGAACTGTCCTCAATGGAACCCTGGGGGAGACAGGATGGCCCAGTGGAGAGAACGGATATTGGACCAAGAGTCGGAAGTCCAGGATCTCAATCCCAGCTATGTCTCTTATGGGTACTACCTTATCATCTGGGCGAGAAGACACTTCACCTCTGAGAGCCCACATTTGCCATCTGTAAAATGGGGATAGGACTGACTCCCCCCTCTGTCTGCCTGCCTCATGAGGCTGAGAATCAAATGAGGTTGCCTTATGAGAATCAAAGTAAAAGTGAAATAAGTGCTTTGTAAACTGTAGAAATTGAAAGCACTGTATCCAACCACTGCTTGCTGAATAAATCAACAAAGAAACAAATAGGGACAAGATGAATGAGAAGGTAAAGAGGCTCTAAAGTTATTTGATTATAAAACATTCAGAATTTCTAATGTCTCACAGAGGACCATTTTAATCCAAGTCTAGAGACTTACCTATAGATTAGGGTTAGGATAAGCTGATAAGAGTAAAGAATTAGAAAGATATTAGATCATACCTTAGGTATTTGTGACTAGTAGATGGTGCTGGGCCTGGAGTCAGGAAGATTTGAATTCAAATCCAGCCTCAGACCCTTACTAGCTGTGTGATCAACCATGGGTAAGTCCCTTAACCTCTGTCTGCCTCAGTTTCCTCAACTGTAAAATGAAAGAATAATAGCACTTATCTCCTTGTCCTCCCAGGATTGTTGAGGATTGAATGAGATAATATTTCTAGAGCTCTTGGCACATGCTTAGTCATGTCTGACTCTCTGTGAGCCATAGCAGACCTTAGCATGCCAATACTGTCCATGGCGTTTTCTTGGCAAAGACACGGGAGTGGTTTGCCATTTCCTTCACCAGGGGATTAAGGCAAACAGAGGTTAAGTGACTTGCCAAGAATTACACAGCTAATGTCTAAGGCTGGATTTGAACGCAGGTCTTCCTGACTCCAGGCCCAATGCTCTATCCAGTGAGCTACCTACCTGCCTCTAAAAGGCACTTCATAAATAAATGCTTGCTTCCTTCCTTCAAAAGCTTGTCCTATAAGAATTCCCCGCTTAACGTTTCTGAGGCACATTGCTCCAACAAATAGCTACGTATCTTATAAAATTTGTGGTTCTAGATTCATGGCACTTAAAAAGAAAACATCAAACGACTCTCAGACAAATATTGTGTGTGTATGTGTGTGTGTGTTTGTCCTTCACTGTCAAAGAGGACCATGACATCATGGAGCTGATGATGTGACTGGCGATTGACTTTGATTTGAATGAGGGACAGCTGTGCAAAGTCACCAGCCTCACTTTCTCCTCCAGAGCCATCTGGGTCCAGTGGCCAGATATCCGTCGGGAAGACTGGACATGGCCCCGGGACTCTCGGACAAATACATGTAGTTCCATGTGTCCGAAGCACTGTCACCACCTGTTGAGAATCTAAACTGCAGGTTCATCTTGAGGATGAATAAACATCTTTCTTAAAAATGTTGGATCTGCACAAGTAAATTTATGAACTGAAAACAATACATAGAGGCTACATACATACATACACGCGCACACACACACACACACACACACAGTCTCACCTTGTGAACTGACAACAAAGGTCATACCAATACATAGAGGTTACACACACACACATACACACACACACACAAATAATACACTTTACTAGTATAAAAATAGGTTAAGAAATCTCATCTGTACAGCTCCTAAGAACACAAGATAGGTTGCCTTGCCTTTAAGGTGTTTACCAAAATGGGGATTGTGACCCTCACTAATAGCTCCTGATGAGAACTACAAGGTTCCTAGAGACAAGTGGCCTCTATCCAATCCCACCTCCTGAAGCCATTGGAGGGAGGGTCTAGGACTCTGAGATTGAGGGTTGCTTTGCTTGGAGGAAGTTTGAAAGCTACCAATGCCTTGGTTGAACTAGAGAACACAGATATGGGATCGTCAAAGCCATAGGCAGACCTTCTTTTTGCCCACTATCCTCCCTATATACACACAAAAAAATTCTAGGGCAGTTACTGAAAAGCTAGCAGATTGATGTGGACATGGCTAGGGTGACCATTTCATAATATAGCTTGGTCTTAATGCTGAGTCCTATTTCAACCACAGGTAGTGGTCATTTCTAAGAATAATCTCATATCAAATGGTGCTTTTCTGGAACATTGCAAGGGAGATGTTAGATAAGAAAATTAGAATGAAACAGAAAGAAGTCAAGCCTTAGTTTTAAAACTACAAGTGACTAAGAAGATCCCAGGAAATCAGATAAAGTCAAATACTCTCCCTGCCCCACCCTCACACCACCCCCATTTCTGACTTTGGAATTTACAGATATCATCTACCCACAATACACTAGTAATGCATCCAATGCTATCTTCCTTAGAACTAGCTAAGATATGGAAGAAAGTCAATGAGAACCGTTTTATGTTGGTATTTCATTTTCTGTGGACCCTAACACTGTGTTCTGGATGGGAAGAAAACCTAAATTCTCCTACTTTCAAACAGACAAAATAGTGACTTATTGTTATACATCTGTACCTCTTTTTTCCCCATCCCAATGACCACAGTCTTTCTTCCTTTCTCTTTAGTATCCTAGTTCCTAAGCTACAAGGCTGGGCAATTCCAATTTGATCTAACCTGCAAAAACACCCAGATAGGCTCTGTTTAGGTGTGCCTAAGCCTGTAACCTTGGCTTTCCACTGGTAACAAAGAAAGGGAGTAGGATATTAGTCGGAGCTCAAATTTTACAGAAAGGGGACTATGGTACCTTGCCTTCTGGGGAGTAAGGAAGGATGAAGAGAATACAGAATTTTCCTGAAAGCTCACCTTCCCATAAGCCTTCCCAAATGAATCAGAAAAATGCTGGTTCCTTTTCCTTGTCCAATCTAGTCTGGCAATGGACCCCCACAGTTAATAAGGGATTGTCATTTCAATCCCATACTTGCTGGCTGCCTACCATCTTCAGTGCTCCTTTGACAATCTGTTGTGGTTATTGTTTAGTCAATCAGTCATGTCTAACTCTTTGTGACCCCATGGACTCAAGTGTGTCCATGTTAGTACATTCTAGACTGTAAATATTCAGAGGGCAGCATCTTTATCTGAATCACTCTTGATAGATCAGTCAGCATAGACCCACATGCAACTGGACTGAGTTCAATAAATGTTTGTTAAACTCCTACCATATGCCATGTATATAGGTCTACAGAGACTTAATAAAAGCTTTTTTCCTGGTGACTGATAAGAACCATGTCACTGTGGGCTAGCCTCCTCATCCATCTAGGACTCAGTTTCCACCTCTCTAAAATGAAAGAAGTGGGGCAGCCAGGTGGTGCAGTGGATAAAGCTCTGGACTTGGAGTCAGGAGAACCTGAGTTCAAATCTGACTTCAGATGTATAACACTCACTAGCTGTGTGACACTGGGCAAGTCACTTAACCCCACTGCCCCATGAAAAAAAAAAAAAAAACAAAAATAAAATGAAGGGAGGTAGGCATGGTGAGGCACACTTGTAATCAATGCTCCTGGAGGTTACACCAGCTGAGAGGCTGGTGCATCAATTGAGTTTGGGAGTTCTGAGCTATAGTAGGTCTAAAGACAAGCTGCTGTCCATATTAAGTCTAGCACCAACATGGTCAGCAACTAGGAGCAGGGGGGAAGCAGGGAGAAGGGGAGGCTACTAGGCTGCCTATGGAGGAGAAAATTGGTCCAGGTCAGAAAAACAGAGTAGGTTAAATAAAAGGTTCTATTCCAATCAGTATTGGAACTGGGTCTGTGAGTTGTCACTATACTTCCAGCCTGGGCAAGATATAGAGATCCAGTCTCAAAAAATGATGATGATGATGATGATGATGATGATGATGATGATGATGATGATGATGCTAGACTAGTTGGCCTACAAGGTTTTTTTCAACTCTGACATTCTATTAGTCTCAGGATGGTGGCCCACGAGGAGAGAGACATCGGCACCTTGTCCCTATTCCTGGACTGGGAACCTCTAGGTAGACTGCAGTATATTCGGTTTGCCAAGGCAAAACCAAAGCAAAAAAACTGGAAGAAGGAAGGGTAGAGGAAGCAGAGTGAAAAAAAATCCTGACTCCTTCAATAGGCTTTCAAAGGTCAAACTCATCCTGATTCACATTCAAGCCAGGCCTGACTGGGAGCAGTTTCACTGCATCCCAGATCCCAGGAATGTTATCTACCCATGGCAGAAACACTAAAAAATTTTACACCAACCTGAATGAAGGTATCAGAAGGGACTTCATCCATCTGAAAAGGCTAAAATTGGTAGCAGCTCCTGTGGAGTCAGACAGATACAAGCATAGTTTTGACAAAAGTTCTTCCTGGTCCTGGTAACCACCCAACTTACCAACTTATCACATCATTTTAATCTCTATTACTGGCCAGTAATGGCATTTATTAAGTGTCAAAAGTGAATTACAGGATTTAATAAATGTAAGAAATTTCTGATAATTTTCCTATAAGCTTTAATTTAGGGTGATGACCCAAAAATTAAGGAAGGTTTATCACAGGCCTGCTTTTGAAAATAAAAATGTGTGTGTGTGTGTGTGTGTGTGTGTGTGTGTGTGTGTGTGAAGTCTTTAAAGGTTTATGAAAATTAAAAATATGTGGTAGGGAGAGAAGTAAGAAGGCTGGGAAAGTACAAATGATAATTTTACTAAGTCCTTTACAAAAAATCTTTTGGGGGTTACAGTGGTGGAATTTGTATACACATTATACAATTTCTCTTTGTATACCCGCTTTCTTTACCTTGGACACAGTAATAAAATCAATACTTCCATTGCTTCTAGAAAGGGGATATCAAACTACTTCCCTACGGATCAAATCACCATCCCTATGGCTCGCCAGACCACCATTCTGTTTCCCGGCAATCACAGGCAAGTACACCTCATTTTTGTAGTTGCATTCTTAGGGCTTTGTCCAGTACTTGGATTATAAACACTTTCACTCATTCATTCATTCATTCATTCCCATGTGGAAGCTGAAGCTTAAAATGTGGCTGACATTAACACAAATTATTCACATAGTCTTGACATTATATGTATTCATCAACTAATGTCCAATATCTCTTCAGGGAGTTAGTAGTTGCTGACTAGCATTCAGAAAACTAGCTGGCCAAGTTCAACTTGTGTTAACTATTTGGTTAATGCTGACCCTCTAAAATATGATTACAGTATGTCTTTTACTGGTATCATTTTTGGTGCCTATCCAGTAGTTTAGCTTAAAATGAAAATTAATCCATTTCAGAATTTAGCAATAATAAACACAACTCTAAAGACCCTCATTTGTGTTTTAAGGTCTTTATAGTAAACCTTTTGGATAAATCTAAGGTACAGTAAACTTTTTTAAATTATGATTTCATTGATTCATAATCACTTTAAAGGGGCCTAGACTAAAGTTTGCTATTGAATTACATTTTAAAAAATTGAATTCTCTAAGTTAGTATTAATAAACGTGAAGATTGTTGGGGGAAGATTTGGGGTGGACCAAGACGTTTAAAGTACTTGAGAAAAAAACTGCTTCTTGGAACATTAGAAGCACCACTGACATGCTAATAATTGTTATGCTAATTATAAACCACTCTATATGCTAAGGAAGGCTCTCTAAGGACTTCTAGGTAAAATGCCTTTGGTGACACTGAATTATTGCTCATAATTAAAAGTTTATGTCAATTAAAAAGTACTCTACAATCAAAGGACTCACCACTACTCATTAGCTTCCCCCCACAAACCCTCTGAGTCAATGAGGTTTTATTTTATTATTTAACTAATGTCATTACTACTTGATTAAAAATAATTACAATGTATCACCATAATTACGCTCCAAAAGATCTAGTATTTTGCCCCATTAACTTTATTTTGAATTTTGGAACCATTGTTTTGTTGAAAAGGGCCTTCTTAATGTCTTTCTTCTGGTAAATGTTTCCTTAGGTGCTATGCTAATAAGGGCAGGTAGCAGGTTCCTTTAATGGGCTTTGGGGTAAGATAACATTGATCCCATGGTCAAAGACTGCACCCTTGCTGCTGGTTCAGGGGGTTCTGGAAAAAACAGGATCAGTTCAATCTAAAGCCAGTCCTAGCATCGCAAAAATAATTCACGGGTATGCCTTGCTTTGTGTTCCAATATCCCTCTTCCCAGAATCCCTCTCCAGACCTCAAGACTGCAGGTTAGTGAAATAGTATTCAGAGGAGTCCTTTATCAATTCTGGGATGTACTGGTTATACACTGGTTCCCACAGCCTCTCCTCAGGTCTATAGCTTGTCAGTCTCCTAGGTACCAGAGAAAGCCCTGCTACTTCTCTGAGCTGAGAATATCCTTCACAGCATATTCTTTATCACAGTCTATCATCAGCAATGGTGGGTGAGAACTTCAAGGTAGCTTGGGGTCAAGGTGAGCTCATCATAGCAAATACTAGTGAAACTCAAGTCAGGACAGGTCCAGCTGGTAGGATTTACCCTCTGTGTGATGAGGAAGAGGCTATGGCCAGTTTTTGAGGATGTCTCCAGGTGGGGAAGCTGCAGGTGGATGCTGGAGAGATGTTACACTCAAGAGTTCTCCAAGAGTGTGGGGTTGCTCAGAGATTTGTCTTTATGCCCATTGCGGTGTGCATGGGATACGCAATAAGTTAGCATCTTCTAACTCCTTCAAGTAGTCTATGGCAAATCAATCAAGTCAGTTGCTAGTCAGAGAGCTTAAGAGCAAAAAATAATATAAATATGCTAAAGATAAGGAAACCAAAGAATGCACAGAGTCCAGAAGGCAGCATTTTGTTCAAATTCAAGTAGGTACCTGGAAACTGGAGTCTTTTTTTGTTTCTAGAGGTAAAAATGCTCAGCCACAAACTACAAACGACCTCTGGCACAGCCCCAGCGGGCCCTGCTGACTCAGCCACCTGTGGACAGGGGCACTTATGACCAACAACACGCATCTAACATACATGTGATGGGTGTTAACAGGGCCACTTGAATTTGAAGAATATCTTTTTGGCATGAAATCAAGTTACTTCATCATTCAAAGACTCAGCTGAAATCTGGGCTGTTGGCCTCTTGCAGGAACCAATCTGCTCTTCACACTCCCTCACCATCCCTTCACTCCCCACTCCTCCTATAGCAGAACTAACACTTATTTCTACTTGGCAAACCCCAGGGCAGCCAGGATTGGGGGCTGGTCCCTGCCTCCACAGGAAGCCTGTGAAAGCTCTTGAATGCAGGGAGACACAGCACTGTTCCGAATTAGGCTCCTTTCTGGGGGCTGCCCATACCTTACCCAGATTCCTCCTGGGGTTCTTACTTCCTGTGGCCAAGGCTGCTTCTTAATCACCCTCTCTGCTTTTTTCTTATATTGTTCCTATTATTCTTGCAGATTTTATGGTTTGTGATCCTTTATCTGGTTTCTGGAAACTTCTGCCCACTCAGCCTCCTATTGTACCTACCCACCTAGTGCTGACCTTCATTGGTTGACTGTGGATTCCTGGGGACTTTCAACCTGCTATTGCCACACCAGAGCCTGGTGACCTCTTCTGTATCTATGTTCCAACTAAATGAACCAATGAGCATGGGGCCTACTGATTATTCACAAACCCTTTGTAATGAAGGACTTCTAAATTAGAGCAGAGGTGCTTAACCTTCTCTGTGTTGAAGCCCCCTCTGGAATTCTGTGGAAGGCTGTGGAACCCTTAGCAGAATAATGTTTTTAAATGCATAAAATAAAATGCATAGGATTACAAAGGAAACCAAATATATTGAAATAGTTATCATCAAAAAAACATCAAAATGTTTTTTAAAAAACTAAGTTCATGAATTCCAGGTTAAGAACCCCTGATCTATAGTAAGAAGGAGTGGCATTCTGCCTACACTTACCAGGGTAAAGGCCGGGGCTGACTTGGCCTATGTAGAAATAGAGGATCACAGCAACCCCTATGTCCACCAAGGCATAGATCCATTGAATCACAAACATGATGGTGAGGGACCCGATGGCCTGTTGGTAAGCAATGCATGGTTTTGTGAACAGATAATCCTATGGTTTCCTACATGACAAGGAAGCCTCAGTCCTGTTGTCTTATGTAATGACCCATTCTCCAAGCTCTTTGGATAGTGATAGTGAAGGTGAAAGTTTGTAGAATGAAATATTCTCTTGATGCAAACTCCTCCTTTAGGCCAATAATTTCAACTCAATTCAACTAACAATAAATAAACATTTATTAAGTGCCTATTATATGCTAGACACTGAACCACTTAATCAAAGGAACTCTCTACTTTCTTCCTGTAGAAATCCTATCCATCTCTAATAGCCCAGTTCATGAACCACTTTTTTTTTTAACAAATGAGGAAACTGAGTCCCAGTAAAGTTAAGTTACTTGCCCTAAGTCACATAAGTAGTAAGGATCAGAGATGTAATTTGAATCTAAGTTGTCTGACTCCACATCCCTTCCTCATTCTTCTCTTCCATGCCTTATTGGACCCCTCTCAGCCAGAAGTGATAGCTTCCTTATCTTAGTGTTCCTAAGGGCTGTATGTAAGAATGCTGTCCTGATGAGGTGCCAGAAATAATAATAGTGATGTAAAATTTACTAAGTGCTTTACACGTGCTATCTTATTTGAGTTTCACAATAAGCCTGGAAAGTAGGTGCTATTATTACCATCTTCATCTTATAGATGAGGAAACTGAGCCAAACAGAGATTAAGTGACTTGCCCAGAGTTCACACATCTAGTATCTGAGGTCGAATTTGAATTCAGGTCTTCCTGAATCCAGGCCTCAATGCTCAGTCCACTACACTACCTAGCTGCCTAATTATGGGACACATAAAAATGCATAGCAGCAAAGCACATGTGCTGACTTCAAGTGCCTAATAACCAAGATTTTTTTTGTCTGACTCTATCATTTCAATTAGTACGGGAAGTTCCCAGTGAATAAAAACCCTTTTCCAATGCAGTAAAGTCTTAGAGAGTGCCCTGGGGCTCTGAGAAAGTTTAATGCCAGTGCCCAGGGTCATATAACCATTATGTGTCAGAGGGAGGACTGAAACTCAAAGTCATTGTTTTGTCAATGGCTAACTTGATGCTGAAAGCACAGGCAGCTAGTGACAGGCAATATTGGTAACATTTTCCTCCACCATCTCCCTTCACAGTAAGTGGCAGCAGCAGCCTGAGGATGCTGTTGCCCCAGTGGATGGAATGGAAGCCTCACGCTGCTGCTCAGCATCTCCCTCGGGAAGCCTGAGAGTGGACAGACTTATATCAGGTGTCGCCAAATGCTGCAGTGAGGTTACTTCCCTACTCCCACAGTACATCCAATTGTGTATTAAATTGATTTACGTACTTCATAATCTCACTAATCGGCAGGTAGGTGTTTGTGGACAAAATCCAGGCCATATTCATTTTAGTATGAACTATCGATGTTGTGGGAGGAATAACAACTATTACTGAGGTAGCCAAGCCACAATGGATAGAGCACACAACTTGGAGCGGAGAAGATCTGAGTTTGAACCCTGCCTCAGACACTCAGACTTGGTGACCCTGTGCAAAATTGCTTATCTTCTCTCAGCCTCAGTTTCCTCATCTGAAAAAGTGGGATAATAATCCCACCTACCTCATAGGGTTGTTGTAAGCATCAAATGAGTGAACATATATAAAACATATATAGAGTACTTCAAAGTATTATATAAATGTTCACTGTTACTACTACTACTACTATTTGTTGTTGGTTGTTTCAGTTATATCCAACTTTTTGTGACCCCGTTTAGGGTTTTCTTGGCAAAGATACTGGAGAGTTTTGCCATTTCCTTCTCTAGTTCATTTTACAGATGAGGAAACTGAGGCAGACAGGGTTAAGTGACTTGCCCGGGGTCACACAGCTAGTATCTGAGGCTGAATTTGAACTCATGAAGATGAGTCTTCCTGATTCTAAGCCCAGTGCTCTATCCACTGTATGTATACTCCTCTTCCTCCTAATAATAATAATAATAATAATAATAATAATAATGATAATCTGCTTGAAAACTATGGCAGGCAGGCAATGCTGTATAGCTGAGAAGTCATAATGCACAACACAAGAAAACTGGAAGGTCACCATCACATAGATCAGTTTTTCCCTAATGAAACTATCCTCAATACTTTAGTCTGTCAATAAACATTTATTAAGTGTCTACTATATGTCAGGCATCTTGCCAAGTGCTCAGGATACAATGAAAGACAAAAGAGAAGCCCTGCCCTCAAGGAGCTCACAGTCTAATGGAGGAGACAACATACAAACACACAAAAAAGCTGTATACAGTATAAATTGGAACTAATCAACAAAGGACAGGCCCAAAGGAATCATGGGAGATGGAGAAAGGTTTCTTATGGAAGGCGAGATTTTAGCTAAGACTTGAAGCCACAAGACGGAGATGAGGAAGGAGAGAATTCCAGGGATAAGGCACAGCCGGTGAACATGCCCGGAGTCTGGAGATGGAGTGTCTTGTTTGAGGGACAGCAAGAAGACCACTGCCACAGAGTGGAAGTGAGTAAGATGTAGAAGACTGGAAAGAGAGGAAGGAAGCAGGCTATGGAAGGCTTTGGGTCCCCAACAGAGAGGATGTAGGCTCGAACCATTCACGTCGCTTCTTGGTTCCCATAGCATAAAAGTCCAATGCACAAGTAGCCAAAGCTCTCTAGCTTTGATGGACCGCCACCACTGCTATGGAAGTCGAGCCACCCTTCTACCCACAGGTCATCATGACAAACACGGAGGTGAGGGGAGATACATCTAGCTGAATCAAAGCTGCATCTTTGTAGGACTTTGCTTCCATCTGCTATTGAGCAAACTCCCTTTTATTACACCTGCTACAGTCTACAATTGTCTTATTCCAATTCCAACCCTGAATCCTCCAGACTAAGTCAGGCCTGACCCAATATAACATGCCTAACAGGGCCTTGAATATAGCTTTTTTTGGAGATTTGGGTTTTGGCTTATGATTTTACCAATGTAAGGAACTCTTGGTATGGAAATTCCCTCAAGTAACAGATCAGCAGGAACTCTTAAGAGTTCCCTGGGACTGATTGATTAAATGACTTACTTGCTCACAACTATGACTTATGTATCTGAGACAGGACTTGAACCCAGATCTCTAACTCTAAGGTAGGCTCTCTAAACACTACATAATACTGTGGATTTTTTTTTAACTAATTACTCCCTCCCCCCAAGAAATGTTGACTAAGTTGGTTTCATAACTTACTGCACATCCACCCACACAAATTAAATCTGGGGAACTTATGCATTTAGGAGAATTCTGCATGCTTCTGGGAACAAATACTCATTTAGAAAGTAAAATCTCAATTAAAATGACACATCATTAAAATTGCAATATGGCCCTGCTGAGGCTCATCTAAATTATAATATGACAATCTGACAAATTGTATTCCTGGGATCAAATAATAACAAGAATGATGTGGGGGGGAAGGGGAGAAGGCTCTCCTGCCTTTCATCCAGGCTTGGATCCCATGGAACTCCACCCTCCCTTACATCCTGATCTGGACCCCAGAGCCAACCAAGGTCAAGGTACGGTTACTCACCCCAAACAGGGAGACCCACGGGTTGCACAACTGAGTGTAGAAGGAAACCGGTCTCCTCTTGACATCCTGTTCCTGGGAATTGAACTTTGGGAAAGAATCTGCAGAGGACAAACCCAACCCTGAGTTCAATTGTGTTATGTTACCAAGCCCTCTTCTATTTTTACAAGCAAGCTCCTCCACCCTTCCCCCAGATTCAGTATAAGTTGCAAACCCTACCTCCTCTTCAACCAGACAATATTACATTGGTAAGTGTCTCTCCCTTTTCCAGCCTTTATTAGATCTCTTTGAAGACTTAGGATAGGCGTTACATAAGGCTACTTTAGAACCTTCAGTCAAAAATCACTCAATAATCCCATGGTATCTACTTCTCTGTGCTAAAAGCTGTGTAACACTTCTTTCCAAAAGCAACACCATTCTGATGTAGGGTGCTTACTGAGGTAGAAGTCCCCTTTTCTCATTGAGCTAAAAAAATGTCTCTTCACATGAATGGGGCCAGGAATATTATGTTCTTGCCACTGAAAAATACATTAAGAATAGTATGATATAGTGGAAAAACAGTGTCTGGAATGACAGGTCTAGGTTCTAGTGACAACTGTCTCACTTAATAGTGATATGACTTTTTTGGTGGAGAGATCTGTGAGTTCATCTGTATAGGGAGTTCCCAGTGTGGAAATTCCCTCCTCCAATGCAGATCAACAGCTCTTCTATAATTGATCATCTTATATCACAAGAGATTAGGTGACTTGCCTAAGGCAAGAGATGAGCTAGTGTGTGTGTCAGAGTTAGAGCCTGAGTCTGAAGGCCAGGGCTCTATCCCCTGAGCATACTGCCTGTCATGACCTTGTTATAGGAAAAGAATGAGGAAAGCATAGACCAACTCTTGCTCATCCATTCATTCATTCAATTATTAATTTATCTGGGCCTGAGTTTTCTCCTCTGTTAGGTGAAGGGGGAAGATCTACATGGTCTCTGAAGTTCCTCTTGGATCACAATACTATGATCCTATTAATGTAAGAATCATTACAACCATTTGGAGATGTTTAAAGCCAGTGGAAAGCTTACGGCAGCCCCTGTGACTGCTTCCTGAATGCTCCCATTTCTCCCATTTCTTATTCTAGAATGTTCTACTCGCAGTGATCTGTGGTCTTTAAAGCAGGGGGAGCCTGGTTAATGGAAAGCCACAAACCTTATTTAAGCGATCTGTTTCATTCCTTAGCCCTCATCCTCAATGAGTCAGTCAACAAATGACAGGTAGCTATGTAGCACTGATGCTTTTCAAAGTACACTGGTATTTGTTATCTTATTTTACTCTAATTCTGATGTAACAAATTAAGAAATTCTCTCTCTCTCTGTTTCTCTCTCTCTCTCTCTCTCTCTCTCTCTCTCTCTCTCTCTCTCTCTCTCTCGCTGGTGCTTCCTGCCCATGTAACCTTGAGAAAGTCACTTGATCTCTCTGGTCCTCAGTTTCCTTGTTTATAAAAATGAAGGGATTAGCTGTCTTCTGATGTCCATCTCCAAACCTATGACCTTATGATCCTGTCTACTGAGTACACAGCAGAAGTTTTGGAAGAGGACTTTCATGTTCTGGTATGAGTTTGATTTCCAAAATAATTTTTAATTTAAATTGTATTTTGTTGATGCCTTTTATATTTACATTGCAGTCATTTCCCATTCTCTCGTTCCAGGCTGAATCATCCCTTGTAACAAAGAAAAACAATTCAGCAAAAACATCTGATACACCAACATTACCTGACAGTGTTTCTATACTAGTTCTCTGCTCTGAGGGAAAGGAGGAGGTATGGCTCATTACCTCTTCTCTGGAACCTTCACTGGTTTTCTCCATCACTCAGAGTTCAACTTCCTTTAAGCCATTTTAATTTTCATTGTTCTCATTATTATACTTATTGATCTGTTGGTTCTGTTTATTTAGCTTTACATCAGTTCATTCAAATCTTCCCAAGTTTCTCTGAATTCCTCATATTCATGTCTTCTCACGGTACAATATTTAGTTACATTCACATGCCATAATTTCGTTTGCTATTCCCCAATCAATGGATATCCACTTTTTAATAGTTCTTTGCTAGCACAAAGAATGCTGCTTTCAACATTTTAGTATATATTGGTTCTCTCTCTTTTTGACTTTCTTTGGGTATATGATCAATAGTAGGATTGCCAGGTCACTGGATATAAATTTTTTTGGCACTTATATAATTCAAATTGAAATCTAGAATAGTTCAGCCACTTCACAGCTTCACCAACAATGTACCAGAGTATCTGTGTTTCCATAGCCCTATCATCACTTATTATTCCCAAGTTTGTTTTTTTTTTTATGTTGGCCAATATGCAAGGAATCATGTAAAACTTCAGCATAATTTTCATTTCTCTTAGTTGCACTGATTTGGAGCATGTTTTCATGTGGCCATTTAGAGTTTATCAACCTTCTTTTGAAAACCTTATACATATCCTTTTGTCGCTTAGCTATTACAGAATAGCTTTTGATATGATTATTTGTGCCAAATCCATGTATATATTTGAGTAGCAAATTTTTATCAATGTTATTTGATGCAAATATTTTCCAACTATCATTTATATTTTAATTTTCACTGATTTTATTCATGCAAAAACTTATTTCATGTTATCAAAATGGCAAATTTTATCTTTTATGCTATCTTTTATCCCTTGTTTAGTTAGTATATTGTCTGCCAGCCATTTACACGTACAAAGCTGTAAAGCTAATTTCTGCCAAGCTGCTTTCCATTTTCCCCAGAAGTTCTTATCCAAAAGTGATATCTTCAATAATTCATGATCTTGCATTTATCAAAACCTGTTTTCTATTAGTAAATATTTATTAAATACCTTCTATGCACAGTGTATTGAGATAATAAATGAAGATATTAAAAAAAAAGACGTGGTGTCTCTATCAACCAGCTTAGAGTTCCTCTTACTTCTCCTGCTCCATATCTTCCCCTGGAAAGGAGGCTGATAAGTAGTAAGAAAGGAGGAAGGAAGGAGGGACGGTGAAAAGAAAAAGATGCTTAATTAATTCATAAAAACAGACAATTGATTCCTGAATAATGGAGCATAAACTATATAAAATCTAATACCTACCTTGGCAGGGAAGGATGATTCCAGAAACTAAATGTGATAGAAGAGGCACCTTCTTAATTATGGGCTTGTTCAAACCAAAGTTTCTAAGGATTGATTTCACTTGCTAACTAACCATGACAGAGGTCAAAGGGTATATGTTCTCACTATAGCAGTTTCCTCCCCTGCTCTCTGATTCCTCAGTGGGTATCCAGGTGAGGCCCTGGGCTCCTGGGATAAGTCTGATCAAATTAACTTGCTCAGGGATGTGGAAAGCCTAGGGAACTGTTTTTTTTTCTCTAAGCTTGTTAATTGCCACAGAGAAACCACTTTTATGTCTATTTTAAAACTTTGTTATGTTACACTGAAATGTCTTTTAAAATATGCGTTTTGGTTTGATGTCTTTCATAGTGAGCAGTCTGGATCAGAAGCAGCAGGCTACATACATAAGAGACTGGCAGTGGTTGATAAAAAAAAAAACCCAACAAATGTATGCTAACTGCTTGTTCTTTTAAAGTTACCTGATGGAGGGGAAAGATCAGGCTTGGTTAGCAACACTACCCAAGTGCTGGGGAAATTGCTATTAAGGAAAAGGTCATAGTGATGTTTTTGCAAGTCTGCTGGCAATACATATGTGTGTGTGTGTATATATATATATATATATATATGTATATATATATATATATATACACACATATACATATATATGTATATATACATATACATACATATATAATACATGTATTATACAAAATAATATATGTAATATATAACACACACAAATATGTGTGTATTGATATGTATATGTACATATTTATATGCATTTATATACACATATATATCTGTGTGTATGTACATATATATGTATACATACTTTTTTGATTTTGTGCTTTGTCACGAGAATCTAAAGAAGCAAGGGAAAACATTAGCAACTGACATTTCCATGAGAAATGTTAGGTTGTCAGATTAAGATTTTTCCTGCTAGGGTAAAAAAAAACAAAACTCAAAAGCTAGAGAAAAGGGACCCATAGGAGAAGGGGGAGTCAAGTAGCCCTGAAGGCTTTGGTCCCTAAAGTATCAAGCCTAGAGATGTATCTATAACCCCAGGTGGGCTTATGACACTTAAGAAAAGACTCAAGATGAACTAAAAATTCATTCTCTGTTCAGGTCTGAAGGAAGACAAAGATTAGATAAAGCAGTGACTGCAAAATTGAATTACACTGGAGATATTTTTATTTCTTTAAGTCTTGCTCTAAACTCTGTATCAATTTTTAAAATACTATAATTAATGGCTAGCTAACATCCGTTTTCATGAAAAATTCTATTTTTGATGGAAAAAAGAATAATTCAGTAGAAAAGCTTTCACATATATACACATATATACATATATATATATATATATTTAATACATTCTTTGCTAATCAGGTAATTGTATTGAATACACAAAACATTTGTGATTATAGCAGTTCATCAAATTTGGTGGTCCTGAACCCTAGGATTTAAATAAGTCCTCAAGACTGCCCAAAATGTAGAGGAATGAAGTCAAACATCTAGGATCATATAACTATTACATATCAAAGGTAGTCAATCATACTTAGCTGAAATAATGCTATTTGGACCATGAGGGGATATACCAACTTAGCACTGTCTTGGTGACAATAACCTGATCGCTCTATTAGTACTGATCAATCAATCAATCAATCAGTAAGCATTTTTTAAGCAGCTACTATATTCCAAACACTGTGCTAGCCTCTGGAACAAAAATGAAACAGTCTCTCCCCCTCAAGGAACTTGCACTCATGTACATATATATGAAATACATACAAAGTAATTTTGCAGTGAGATAAGGCAGCAACAGTTGGAAGAATCTGGAAAGTTTCATATGGAAGGTAACCGGATTCATAGGATTATGGATTTAGATCAGGAAGAGACCTTTCAGGCTACTGAGTCTAGCTCCCTCATTTTACAGATAAGAGACAGATAAGTTAAGTAATTTGCTCAGGGTCCTACAGATAGGACCTGGAGCAGGAGTTGAACTCGGGTCTTCTTGACTCCATGTCCAGTACCCTGCCCACTATCTTCATGGTTTCATTGATCTGACTGTTGAAAGAAAGTAGAGATTCTAAGCTAAAGTAGCTACATGACCCGGTGAGTAGAGCTCCAGGTCTGAAGTCAGGAAGACTCACCTGGCCTCAGACACTTAACTAGCTGTATAAAAAAGTCTGGGTAAGTCACGTAACCCTCTTTGCCTCAGTTTCCTCATCTGTAAAATGAGCTGGAGAAGGAAACAACAGACCATTCCGGTATCTTTGTCAAGAAAACCCCAAATGGGGTCACGGAGAGTCAGACACAACTGAAATGACTAAACAACAATAGGGAGTCTAGGAGAATTGTGTGAAGAAGAACTATGTATAATAAGGCCCCAAAAGGGGACTGGAACTAAGTTGTTACAGGTTTTAAATGCCAAACAGCAGAGTTTGTATTTGACTGCAGAATTACTAAGAGTCACTAAAGTGGCTAGAGCACTGAGCTTGGGGTCTAGAAGTTGTTCAGTCACTTTTAAGCCTTGTTTGACTCTTTCATGATCCCAATTGGGCTTTTCTTGGCAAAGATACTAGAGTGGTTTGCCATTTCCTTCTCCAGCCCATTTGACAGATGAGGAAATTGAGGCAAACATGCTGAAGTGACTTGCCCAGGGTCACACATCCAGCAAATGTCTGAGGCCATATTTGAACTCAGGATCTTCCTGACTCCAGGCCTGGTGCTTCACCTACTGAGCCACCCAGCTGCTCTAGAATTCTACAAGACCTGAGTCTTCTAGAGTCAGACATTTATTAATTGACCCTGAGCAAGTCAATTAATTTCTCTCAACCTCAGTTCCCCTCCTCCAATGGATTATTAGATCTTTGAGGACAGGGACTTCGTCTTATCCCTCTTAGATCCCCAAGCCTTAAACACATTATGTACTCCATGAAGTTTTACCGATTGATTATAGAACATGGCAAACTCTTGTAATATCAACACTATTTTAATACATAAAATTTTATTTTTCTTTTTTAAAAAAAGAGCATCATTAGTAAATAGGTTAGATTTTTGTCTTTTTGGGTGATGGCACAAGTTGAAGTACTCTTTCCACAACTATAGGTGCATCAGATTTTGTATTTTCTTAACAGTGTGATAGCTTTGCATGAAGTGAATTAGTAGACATGATCTGCTCTCTGTTCCTGTGGGTGTCTTGAGAGGAAACTGCATGAGATGCTTTCTCTTAATTACTACATGTAGCAAACCTCAGTGAAAGGAAGTATGGCATACAAAAAACAACCCTGGGCTCTAAGGGAAAAGATCTGCGTTCCAGTCTTGGCTCCACACTAGCTGTCCGCCCATGGATGAGTCACTTTACCTCCATGAGACTTAGTTTATTAGTCTGTAAAATGGAGATATTAATACTTTCCCTATTTACTTCTTGGTAAGAGTCTTGAAAAAGAAAAAAAAACACTTTTTGTTAGGTTGTAAAGCAATGTATGAATGTGCTATATTCCCAGGGAGACCATGTTCAGAAATGCTTGACTACCTTGAATAGGTGTGATATCGTAGGATGACAGTAGTGAAAACAGAAGACCTGCATTCAAATCCTGCCCCGACACTTACTCTTGTACCTATGTGACCTTGGGTAAAATACTTCTCCCTGAGTCTGTTCCCCGCCTCAAAAATGAGTGGGCTGGATTAAATGCCTTCTGTGAGTTTTGAGATTTTTTTTTAGCTTTAGAACAACGAACCTATGAAGGTCCTTAAAAATACTTTCTTCTCAAAAGGAAGACATTAGTGGCACATACCATAACACAAGAGCATCATTAAACCTGGCCTCAGGTGCACCTGAAGAAAGCAAAGCAGCTGAGTAGAAACAGCAAACCGTTCCAGAAGGGGAGGCCCAAATCCCTTTATAAAAATCTTACCTTGTCTGTCAGGTCCAAGAAGCTGTTGACTTTCACCCAGCAACTGGTCTTCATGGTCTCCCTTAGGCTGGGACGAGGAGCTCTGCTGGGTGAAGCGATGCTCTTCTGCCTCGGCGGAGGAGGCAGTCACCACCCGGGAGTACGTGGGGAAGGATGGAGAAGCAGGGGAGTTGAGGTCCAAGAGGAAGCTCTCCTGCAGAGTATGCTTTGTCACTTTCGGGTGTTTCACCTTCTTCTTCTCCTTGATCCCCTCTCTCTCTCCTTTCCCAGGACCATTCTGGCTGAACCTGGTGAGGTGGAAAAGCTGATCCAGGTCTTTGGTGAACTCCAACAGGGTACCCTCAGGGCTGGCTTGGAAGGGGCCTTCGGAGCCGTAGCCGGGCCCTTTGTCCAGCATCAGGTGCTCCGAGCAGCAGGGATCCCTAGAGCTTTTCCTCCTTCCCAGCTCGAGCTTCTGGTTGGGGTTGCAGGGACTCATAGACAAGGAGAAGTAAGAGTAGTCTATGGCAATATAAGTTAGCATGAAGTTGACGGTGACAATCGGAGCCAAGACATTCACCTGACCCATGAAGATGAATGCCATGGTCACCAGGCTGGTTAAGCAAATGGCAGCCACAGGTGTTCTATTGCGCCCTCTCTGCAACAAGAACAACAGCAATAACCTAAGCACAATTCAGGTGCCCCCTCCTACGGGGGCCCCTATCTCGATTCTCCTAGTCATTAATGTTCTCTCCCTCTTGACATTATATTATAGGATCATAGAGGCTGTGTGGTGTAGTGGATAGAGAACTACCCTAGGAGCAATAAGACCTGGATTCAAGCCCCGCCTCTGATGCATACTGACTGTGTGACCCTGGGTAAGTCACTTAACTTCTCGGAACTCTCTAAGACTATAACTTGTGGAGATAATGCTGACCTGCATTAATACAGGGAATTTACTCACCCAGAAATTTCCTATGCCAATGAAATCACAGGTCCAGTTCCTGTTGCTCTGATAAGATTATAGATCTAGAGTTGGGAAGGAACTCAGAGGTCATGTAGTCTGACCACTTCATTTATAGACGAGGAAAGTGAGGCCCAAGCAGGTTTAGTCATTCACCCATGGTCACATGTGTAGTAACCCAACATCAGAGGAAGAACTCAAACCCAGGTCCTCTGACTTCAGGGTTAATATGCTTTCCATTATGCCCAGTAGTGGGAGCTAGGTGACAAAATACATTTTGTATTTATTTGTGTACATTGTAATCCTCCATGGAATATAAGCTTCTTGAGGGCAGGGACTATTTATGTCCCCATCACCTAGTACAGTGCCATGCACATAGTAGGCACTTGATAAGCCTTTCAGAAATTGAATTAATGCAAAAGAGAAGCACATTTCTACTACATTTTCATTTCCCCCCAAATCTTACCCTTTTCCTGATTTTCTAACACCAAAGTCTTAGGAGATACAGAAAGAAAATAATTATTCTTCCCTTATTACATGTGGGAAAACAGAAGAGCACAAGAACTGGCACAAGAACTCTGATTACAGAGATATGACCCATTTGCTGTTATTTTTCCTTCATTCTCAAGGAAGACCGATGACATCAAGAGGGTGATGTCTTGACTTGCATGCGAGTTGGACCCACTTAGGGTCCAATGCCTTGACACCTATCTGGTACAGAGGGGGAAGAAACAGTAAATGTGAACTAATGACCCTGCATTTGGTACAGTATAAATATGTAGTCATATTTGTTCTAGCCAGTTTTTCTATTTGCAAAATGATGAAGCTGGATCACGTGACCTCTAAGATTCCTTCATGTCCTAATGTTTTATGAACCTTCTATGAAATTGTTGTGAACGAGACTGGGATCTTTATTGTGCCCTTATAGGTTAGAAAGTACAAAGAGAAGAGCCAACATGCTCCTATCTTTACAAAGAGTAACGTGCCAACAGATGAGCGGTGGTGTTTTGGGTGAGGAACCTGTGGCCCTCTAGGTCCTCAAGTGCAGCCCTTTGACTGAATCCAAACTTCACAGAACAAATCTCCTTAATAAAAGGATTTGTGGCCACACCCAAGGACCTAGAAGGCCACAGATTCCCCACCCCTGGTTTGGTGATGGCCTCATGGTCCAAACAGCCAAGTTTCCCATACATGTGGCTAACTAAGATGGAGGATTAACATCTACTCGACTAGGCTTTGAAAAAAGCTAATATATCCAAACATAATGAAAAATTAAATAGGTACAGAAGGATTTGGAGTAAAATCTGAACCTGTAAAGTGTTTCTCATTTTTTAAATAATATTTTTCCCCAATTACAAAACAATTTTTAACATTCTTTTTTAAAAATTTTTAATTACAAATTCTCTCCCTCCCCTCTCTGAGACAGTAAACAATCTGATATAGGTTATACAAGTGCAATCATGTAAAACATATTTCCATATTAGTCATTTTATAGAAGAAAACTAGGAGAAGGAAGAAAGGAAGGAAGAAAAATAGTAGGCTTCAGTCTATAGTATTCTTCAGTCAGACTCTATCAGTTCTTTTTCTGGACATGGATAGCATTTTTCATCATGAGTCCTTTTGGAGTGTCTTGGATCACTGCATTGTTGAGAACAGCTAAGTCATTCACAGTTGATCATTACACAATGTTGCTGTTACTGTGTACACTTCTGCTCGCTTCACTCTGTATCAGTTCTTGTAAGTCTTTCCAGGTTTTTCTGAAACCATCCTGCTTGTCATTTCTTATAGCACAACAGTATTCCATCACAATCATAGACTGCAGCTTGTTCAGTCATTCCCCAATTGATGGGCATTTTCTCAACTTCCAGTTCTTAGCCACTACAAAAAGAGCTGCTATAAATATTCTTGTACAAATAGGTCCTTTTCCTTTTAAAAAAAATCTCTTTAGGATACAGACCTGGTAATGGTATTGCTTGATCAAAGAGTGTGCAAAGTTTTAGAGCCCTTTGAGCACAGTTAAATTGTTCTTCAAAATGGTTGGAACAGTTTACAACTCTACTAACAGTCCCACATCCCCTCCAACATTTATCATTTTCATTTTCGGTCATATTAGCCAATCAGATAGGTGTGAGATGGTACCTCAAGAGTTGTTTTAATTTGCACTTCTCTAATCAATAGATTTAGAGCATTTTTTCATATGACTATAGATAGTTTTGATTTCTTTGTCTGAAAACTGTCTGTTCATATCCTTTGACCATTTATCAATTAGGGAATGACTTGTATTCTTATAAAATGTCTCAGTTCTCTGTATATTTGAGAAATGAGGCTTTTATCAGAAATACTTCTGCTTTCCTTCTAATTTTGGTTATATTGGTTTTGTTTGTGCAAAACTTTTTTAATTTAACACAATCAAAATGATCCATTTTACATCTCATAATGCTCTCTGTCTCTTGTTTGGTCCTATTCCCATTGATTTTTATTATTTACCTTTATTTAAAATAATTCGGGTCTCATTCCCAAGCTTTAGTAGAACTTCTTTAAACTCGACTGAATCTTGAAGCTTCACATCCAAAAAGCCCCTTTTCAGAGCATTTCTTTGGCTTTGATGCTTCAAGGATGTGGCGCGTCATTTCTTCTTCATTTGCTCATGTCTTTGTTCTCTTTAGTAACAGAGCCCAGCCTTTCTCTGCCTTCAGCTAATCCATGGACAAGTGTCAGTTTGTCTTTTTCTAAAACCTCTCTCCCTACATATGATGGCATGGGAAGTAAATGCCTAGGAAGAAATAAAGACAGCATCTCATTGATTCCTCTGCTCTTATTTCTTCCTGATTCTCCATCCACATAATAACAAAAGAAAGCAATCTGTTTTAAAGCAGCGTAATGCTGCTGGCACAAGCAAAATCCTGATACTGCCTTTCCATCAATCAGAAGATTTTTTTGTTTCAATTGCTTTATTAATTTGCTCAAAGCTTCTCCCCTCGACTCCCCATCAAGACTTATGCTGAGTTATGGGTAGAACATGATGTTGAATGGTTCCCATTAGCAACCAGGTCTAACACAAAGAATCCAATAGCTACAAATTGCTTGGAAAATTAGACAAATGTCTGCTTAATCCAGAAAATAAATTTTGAAATATTGCAAGATTTCCACGGATCTGTGATCTCATTAATGTGGGCCACACATCTGCTCTCTACACTTCCTCACTTGGTGAACTCATCAGTTCCCGTGGGTTCAATTCTCATCTCTTTGCAGATGATTCCCAGATCTACATATGTCCGGTAGAGATGATTTCATCCTTTGCACTTTGTATCCCTAGTGCCTATCAGAGTGCCTGGCACACTGTAAGCACTTGATAAACGCCTGCTGATTGATTGATTCAGTCCTAGTCTTTCTTCTGTCCTGCATCACCAACTGCCTTTTGGACATTTCAAACTGGATTTCCCACAGACATCTCAGCATCAACACTCCCGTAACAGAATTCATTCTTTCTCCTTCCTTTTCCCCCACTTTCTTCTGAACTTCTCTATTACTATGATGACAGAAGCAGCATCCTTCTAATGACTTAGGGTCACAACTTTGTCATCATCCTCTACTCCTCACCTCTCACCCCAATTAGTCAGTCGGATGCCAAACTTTGTCACTTCAATCTCCACGACATCTATCACATACATCTTATCTCTCTACTTGGGTACACAGCCACTCCCCTTGTTTAGGTCCCCAACACCTCTTAAATGGACCATCGAAAGAGCTTCCTAATTGTCTCCTCTTCCCCCTAAGTTTCTCCCCTCTCCAATCCATCCTCCACTCAGCCACCAAAGTGATATTCTTAAATGAAGGTCTGACCACATCATTCCCTCTTCAATAAACTCCTATTATTTCGAGAATACGCAATAAGCTCCTCTACTTGGCATTTAAAGCTTTTCACCCCCTCCACCCACTCTGCAATCCTGCCACAATCCCGGCCTCTTGTTCTTTCTCACTCATGACACTCCATTTCCCATCTCTGCCCTTGCACTGGCTGTTCCTGATGCCTGGAATGCACTTTCCCCTCTTAGAATCCCTGGCTTTCTTTAAGACTAAGCTCAAGGCCGCCTTCTGCAGGAAGCCTTTTCTGGTCCCCAAAGCCACTACTGCCTTTTCTTCTAAGGTTGTCTGTATCTACTTTTGGAGGTCTCTGTATATACTTACACGTTTATATTGTTTGTTGTTGTTGAGTTGTTTCAGTCGTGTCTGACTCTTCATGACCCCTTTTGGTTTTTTACTTGTCAAAGATACTGGAATGGCTTGCCATTTCCTTCTCCAGCTCATTTTACAGATGAGGAAACTGAGGCAAACAGGGTTAAGTAACTTGCCCAGGGTCACACAGCTAGGTAAATGTCTGAGGCCAGATCTGAACTCAGAAAGATGAGTCTTCTTGACTCCAAGCCTAATGCTCTATCCACTGTGCCACCTAGCTGTCCCACATGTTGTTTATGCCATTAGAATGTAAATTCTTCTGATGGAGTCTGAATGCAGACTGAAGTATACTATTTTTACTTTCTTTATCTTTTTCATGGGTTTTTTTTTCCTTTTGGTCTGTTTCTTCTTTCATGACATGATGAATATGGAAATATGTTTTATATCATTGCACATATATAACCTATTTAAAATTCTTACCTTTTTAGGAAAGGGGAGGAGAGGGAAGGAGAAAATTTGGAACTCAAAATTTTTTTTAAATGAATGTTAAAAAAAAAAGAACGTAAGTCCTTTGAGGGAAGGGACTCTTTTCACCTTTTCTTTGTATCCCTAGCACAGTATCTGTAACATAGTAAGCATTTAATAGATGCTTGTTGATTGATTATCTCCTTTACCAATCTCCTTTGTTACCACAGGCTCGTCAATGGGGAAGTGTTTTACATAAGGGCACTTGATTACCCAAAGAATCCTGTGAATTGAGAGCAAGTGTTGTTCTCCCCACTTTACAGATGAAGAAACCGAGACCCAGAAAGGTCAAGTGATTTGCTCAAAGTCATACAGCTAAAAAATAGCAGGATTAAGACTCAAAGCCAGGCCTTCTGTCTCCAAATTTGATGCCCTTTGCACTGTTAATTCACTGTCTGCCCAAGGGACAGAACTGGTCAGAGCTATGAAGAAATGTACTGACTAGATTAGGACCAATCCAGTAGTCAGAAAAGAAAAGAAAAATCTTTTTATTTGATACAATGATAAGTGGGCTGGAGGGTAGGAGTTAAATTCTCTGACTCCCATATAAACCCTTGGAAGGATTTCCTCTGTGGTTTTCTGTCGACCCCACATAAATCAGCCAGTGAATTGAACTGAGGGAAATGACCACCACTGAATTCCAGAATAAAATGTCACTGATCCATATAACCGGGAAACTATTCCCCAAAGGTATGCATGTTGGGGGCGAGGGGATCTATTTATTCACAAGGCAGTGTGATATATGAAAAGAGCCTTGGATTTGGAAGAACATGGCTTGAATCTCAGCTCTGCTTATACACCTATGTGGCCTTAGGTAACTTATGTAACTTCTCTGGGTTCCAGTTTCCTCTTCTTTAAAATGAGAATGAATTAGCTAATTTCCAAGACCCTTTCCAACTCCCAATCTGTGGGCCTGTGGCCAAGATACTTTCAAAACTGTTGCCTCTCTGGAGAGGTCAATGCAAATATCACCTCCGTCACATCTTTGCCCCAGCACGACTCACCCCATGCCCCAGAAATGCCAATGCTGGAACCACTTTCTCTTGAGCAATGCACTGCAGAATACGGGGGGCTGCATACAGACCCCCCATACAGGAGGCCAGTGATGAGATGTACAGTCCCAAGAGGAATAGGAAGCCCACTAAAGACACCTGGAAGAGAAGGGGGTTGAGACAAGACCAGAGAGGGAGAGAATAAATGAGCTACATTTGAGAACAAGTACACCCAGCCAACTCCAGAATCATATGAAGAAGCTCATGTCCCAATCACCATCTTGTAATGGCCACCCTGGCTCCCTGACCTCACAACCCTCTAGGTCCAGTGTATAGAGCCACCCTCAACTCACACACCTGTATGTATGGCCTACTACGTGCCTAGCACTGGGCTAGGTTCTAGGAATCAAAAGACAAAAACAAAATAGCCCTTGTGCCAAAGAAGCTTACATTCTACTGATGTATTTCTCAAATGGATTTGTGATCTCTTCGATGAATGTTCTCTCCAATGGTGCAGATTGCACCCCATCCATGCCTGCCCCTCTTGTGTGACTTTTGTCCTCCCATAACTGATGGGCTGACGGTTTTTGAACACTTCTTCCGGAAGAACTGAAGCAGAGTCTCTCTTTTAGCTCTTCTGCATCCCTGAGAATACCTTTGCTCAGCATTTGCTCAGGATTCTCAATGGTTCTCAGCTCTGTACTTTTTCTTTTTCTGGCTTTGGAGTCATTTGTAAGATGTTCCTATCATTCTTCTGAAGGTTGACTTTGCATCTGTGCTATGGCATTCTGTTTTCCCCTCACTGGGGCAAGCTTCCTCCTTGCATTAAAGACGTTTTTTGGCCTGTACAGGATTCTCTGCTTTGCTAGTCAGCATCACCTCCCTCCCCTCCCTCCACCTATAATGCCCGTGCTTTTTGGCATAAATTCTTTCCAAGTTTTCAATACAATATTTTTATTGTCTCCTACCTTCCTGCGAGCTATTTTTTTTACATTGCCATTTTTCATTTTTCCTTACTAATTAGTGCCTGCTTTTTTGTTAGGGTCCTATTGTCTATAAATGAATGGAACCTTGAGATGGATTGGTTTGGCTTTGGTACAACTTAATGGTGTGCCTAATTAGCTTTTTAAAAATTACTTTTCACATGATGTATTGGAAAGAGCGCTGAGCTTGGACAAAGGAGACCAGAGGCAGAGTTTCACCTCTGCCCATTTACAGCATGAGTGACTCAGGTCACATGGGGATGATAGTGCTGACATCACCTATTTCATATGGTTGTGAGGAAAGCATTTTGTAAACTGAAAAGCAATACAGAAAGCTGGGTGATGATTCTATAGAGAATCTTCCTTCGTCCCCCAAAATATATGTACCTCAATGTACCTCTGGGCAGCTACATGGCACAGCAGATAGAGTGCCAGACCTGGAGTCAGGAAGGCTCATCTTTCATGAGTTCAAATCTGGCCTCAGATGCTTACCAGCTGTGTGACCCTGGGCAAGTCACTTAACCTTGTTTGCCAGTTTCCTCATCTGTAAAATGAGCTGGAGAAGGAAATAGTAAACCATTTGCCAAGAAAACCCCAAATGGGGTCACAGAGAGTCAGACACGACTGAAGTGACTGAACAAAAATATATCTGTCTGAAAAGCAGTAATGTAATTGTGAGTTTTGACAGATGATGAAACACAATTCCCTCCTCTCAGGAGAGGGTAGTGGAACACAGATTCAGAATGCTGCATCCTTAGTCAACCACAGCTGCTTTATCAGAAAGTTTTGTTTGATTGTTTCTTTTTTACAAGGGAGGCTCAGTGGGGGAGGTGGGGAGGTGGGAGGGTATTACATCAGGAAATGACTACAATATATATTTTTAAAGCCTTCAATAAAACTTATTTTTAAAAAGGGGTTTTAAGAATGCTAATGTTTTCAAACAATCCTGGGACGGCCAACTTAGAGTCAGGAAGAAGGTGTTGAGAACAGGATATGTGAATTACGTGGCAAGGGATGGGGGTGGAGGGATGCGAGATTGAAGAATGAAAGGTATTGAACTTTTGGGGTCCAAGTGATGAGGGCAGAGGACCAGAGATCTTAAAGCATATTTTAACAAAAGGAAGTTGTTTATAGAAACTGGGAATCAGAAAGTCAAATAATTTGATGCAGATGGGAGGGATTTCCAGGATAGCCAGAAAGGAATATTGATCAGTGAGTTAGAAAAGGATTAGAAGAGGGGACCACTCACTGTGTGGAATTTTTCCAGGCACAGTAGATTTGGGAAAGAGAGCCACCAGCTCAGGAAGGTTTCTGTGAATAGGACAATGGGGGACTATTATCAGTGCTCAGAATCTCAAACAAGGCCCTTGAAAAGCAGTCTGGCCCAGACTCAGAGGTAAGACCAGTGGGGCACAGACAGAAAGAACCTGAAGCTGTCCCCTTTTCAAGTTCAATCTACAGTAAACCAACACTCTTTAACCCTTAAGCTCCCACTCCTTCCATCTCCTGATGAGGCCAACTGAAATCTAGCCTTCACCTGAGGCACCACAGTCTTGGACAATCTGATGTTGCCTGATTCTTCCTTCGTATCCTAGAACCATAGGATGAGGTGGTCTGCTGCTTCCAGAGCCTAGACTTGCTACTATCATTCAACACCATCTCTTCTAGTCTCATTACCTTTCTTCACGTATTGGCCAGACAGTCGGTCATTTCAGCAACATCCTGTCCTCTGCCCTTGCCCCTCTACTGTTCTCATTCACTTCTGTGCAACCTTAGGTAGCCCCCATTCTCTTCTCTTCCTCTCTCTCTCTCTCTCTCTCTCTCTCTCTCTCTCTCTCTCTCTCTCTCTCTCTCTCTCACACACACACACACACACACACACACACACACTTTTTTTTTTTAGGCAATTGGGGTTAAATGACTTGCCCAGGATCACATAGGTAGTAAGTGTCTGAGGCCAAATTTGAACTCCTGACTCCAGATCCACTGCTCTATCCAGTGTACCGCCTAGCTGCCCTGTATAGCCTCCCATTCTCAGCCTTCTCTTTTCTTGTACCACAAATCTTACTGATGAATGAGGTCCACTGCAAATTGATGCTAGCTAACTTAAATTGGACCTTCTAGAAATCCTTTTATTCATCTCATGGTATTCCTATCGCACTCCCCCAGCAGCTGTTTCAAATTGTTTTTCTTTCTTCAAGTACCCAACTCTCTACCTCATCCCCACTCTTTCTCAGCAGATAATTTTTAAAAAGAGTGGGGCCCTCCAATATGAACTCTGCCATTTCCCTTCTTCCATGGCTCAAAATGTATGCCTTTGCCCATTCTCTCCTCCTTCCTTCTGATCACTAAGGATGAAATGGCATTCCTCTTTGCAAAGGCTAATTCTTCCACCTGTATCCTTGATGACCTCTCCTCCTATTTCTGGGACTTTAGTTGGGCAATCATGCCCACACCATCATTTTTTCTCTATCCTCTCATGGTCTACTCGCTCCTTCCCCTCTTCCCACGAATAAGCTCAGGCCTCCTTTTTCCTAAAAATACCTTCCCTCCTTCTGTTCCTTTAGGTGCTATCTCTTCCTTATTGCCAAATTTTCATAAAGAATATTTTATACCCACCCCCATCCCCCCCACCCCACCCCCCATCCCCGCTTTCACTTTCTTCATTCCTTACTCTGTAATCCTATGTAAGAAGGCTTCCTCTTACTGAAGCAGCTCTCTCTAAAATCACCAATTACCTCTTAGTGGCTAAATTCAATAACCTTTTTCCAGTCCTAATCCTTCACCTTGACCTCTCTATAGTATTTAGCATTATAGACCATTCCTCTCCTCAATATTTTTTCCTCTTACGACTTCAATAACAGTGTTTTTTGGGGGGGTAGGGGGGTCTCTTTAGCTCCCTAGTCACATTTTATCTTTCTTCCTTATTGGTCCTTTTTTCTTCTTCCACTCTAAGACTGTCCCCAGTCTTCTTTTTTTCTCTCTGTAACTTTTCCATTGAGGATCTCATTCACTCCTATGGCTTTAATTGCCCCACTAGGCAGATGACTCTCAAATCTAGATCTCTTCCCCCCACCCCACTTCTCCTCTAGGTTCCAGTCTCCATTTCTAATAGCTTACTGGTTGTCTCCTCCTGAATACCTTGTCAACACCTCAAACTCAAATGTCAACCAGCATTTCTTAAGCACCTACTATGTGCAAGTTGCACTATGCTAGGTATTGGTGATACATAGATGAAAAATGACTCCACTGCTGCTCTCAAGGTGCTTATAAATTGAGTAGAAGGATGTGACTACAGGTTCTGTAGTGAGCATAATAATGTGTTAGATATGTTGGAGCTTCCCTTCTTTACAGGGGAGCAGGACAATGGAGTCACACAACAACCAGCCAGTTAGAAGGATTTCTGAGGCTCAGAGATGCTTGACGTACCAGTGACCCTTTGTGAGTGAACTCTAGCCAAATTTGGAGATACCTGTAGCTTCCAGAAACCACAGAACCAGCCTTGATCAGCTCAAGAGCAACCTTGAGCAGAAGCTGCAGACTCGAGACATTGCATGGGACTTTCTAAACCTCATGCTGCCCAGCTCATTGTGTCTACAGGTGTCTTCTCCTTTAACACCGTCCTTCGCCCCCCATGCAAAACCCTTTCAAAAGGAACTATATTACCTCACTCTTTTTCCACTCTCCTTTGAATAACTGAGAACTCTCCCTCTCTGCTCTATTATAGGATCTTCTCTCCCTTACAAGCCTTTTTTTTTTTTGCTTTTAGGCAATTGGGGTTAAGTGACTTGCCCAGGGTCACACAGCTAGTAAGTGTCAAGTGTTTGGTCTGAGGTCAGATTTGAACTCAGGTCCTCCTGACTTCAGGGTGGCGCTCTATCCATTGCGCCACCTAGCTGCCCCTACAAGCCTTTTTTCATACCATAAATGCTTTGTAATCTGTGATTGGACTCTGTTTCATTTCAGGTCTCTTTATGAGCCTGCAGGTTTTTTGTTAAGAAGACATATAATTACAACTGAACTTACCATCTTCCTTCCAAACCCTGACCCACCGCCTCACTTCCCTCTTTTTCTTGGTGACATCACCTTTCTCCTTTGATCCTTCCTATGGTTCCTACTTCTACAACCTCTTTCATGTCAAACACCTGTTTTCACTCATATTGACTTCTATCCTAG